TTACTAAAAGTTATTCGGTCAATAATATTCCTGCAAACTGATACTTCATCGCTCACTCTGAAACTAATGTCTATTACTAAAAGTTATTCGTCAAATAATATTCCTGCAAACTGATACTTCATCGCTCACTCTGAAACTAATGTCTATTACTAAAAGTTATTCGTCAAATAATATTCCTGCAAACTGATACTTCATCGTTCACTCTGAAACTAATGTCTATTACTAAAAGTTATTTGTCAAATAATATTCCTGTAAACTGATACTTCATCGTTCACTCTGAAACTAACGTCTATTACTAGAAGTTCTTTGAAATAAAACTATTCGTACCAATATTACAATAAGTTTTGTTGCTAGACGTTTTCTGCTAATTAAGGCTTTTCTGAGATTTTGAAAATATGATCTTTTGCAAGAACTTCTCTGACACTTAAGAATATTATTATTGCTCGTGAGAAAAGAAAGAATCTCAGAAGAATGGTTTTGTCTACAAAACCTACCTGTCACGGTGTCAGTCACCGTAACAATACACTCTGTTTGTAAAAGTTCTCTGTCAGTTAAGATACATCAGATACTTACTCTCACCGTAACAATACACTCTGTTTGTAAAAGTTCTCTGTCAGTTAAGATACATCAGATACTTACTCTCACTGTAACAATACACTCTGTTTGTAAAAGTTCTCTGTCAGTTAAGATACATCAGATACTTACTCTCACTGTAACAATACACTCTGTTTGTAAAAGTTCTCTGTCAGTTAAGATACATCAGATACTTACTCTCACTGTAACAATAAACACTGTTTATGAAAGTTCTCTGTCAATTACGATACATCAGATACCTCTTCTCACTGTGACAATAAAATCTGCCCTGTTAGTAGACGCTCTCTGCCAGGTTTGATGCGTCAGATACCTCCTCTCACTGTAACAATAAACTATGTTTATAAAAGTTATCTGTCAATTACGATACATCAAATACCCCTTCTCACTGTGACAATTTTTGCTACTGCATCCATAAGCCTTATAACTACTAGTTCTCAATTTATAAGGATTCCTTTACATTTCTCTCTTTTTTCACAGTAAAAAGTTACTCAAAGTTTTTTTTCCTGTTTAAGACTTCTGCATTCTCTCTTTTTACTACATGTTTTCTGTAAATAAGGATTCTCATTTCCACTTTTATTAGAACATTCAGAACAAAGCGGAATAATAAGAATCACTATAACCTGTAAGGAAACAAAGATTCTCTTCATATATTAGGTTGAGAGCCACACAGTCAGAACTATGTGAAGAGACAACTCAGAGCGTACATGTAATAAAAAGGACTCACAGTGTGAATACACTGTGTCTTGCTCTTTCGGAACATAGCGAGCGCCTGTCCATAGTGTTGCCATGGTGATTTCACATGATACACACCTTTTTCCAAGGGTTTCACGGTATGTGTTTTCTATGTGATTTTTCCGTAAGGAAATTCTCTGTTTGTAAGTTCTCTATTAATCAACAATCCTTCTGCTGGTGTGAAATAAATTCTAACATTAGAAGTCCTCGGTTAATTAAGAATCTTTCTCTCTCTGTGACAATAAATTCTGCTACTAGAAGTATTCTTTAAATTAATGCTCTACACGTCACTTCATTTCACTCATTAGAAGTTCGTTGTTTATTATAAATACTCCTGCCAGTTTGACAATAAACCCACCTAGTAACTATATGTTATTTATCAATCCCTTCCACAGTATTCTTTATCGATATCACTCTATGAATGATAACTCCTCCTATAATTGTGTTACAATAAGATGTCTAATTCTTAAGACCACACTTTCTATTGTGATTATTAATTTTGCTACTAGAAGGTCTTGTCAGTTAAAATTGTCATATTTTAATTATAAACGTAAACTCTGGTCTTTTACAATTAAGACTCTATTACTCACTGTTAGACACTTTTAGATGTTTTCTGCCAACTAAGACTTATCTACCCACTGTAATAATACATCTTGTTATTAGAAGTCCCCAATAGTTAAGACTCTTCTACCCACTGTCACAATATATATATTGTTACTAGCAAGTTTTCTGTCAATTAAACTTATCTATCCACTGTCATAATACGTCTTGTTATTAGATGTCCTCTGCTAGTGAAGAATATTTTTACCCACTGTCACAATACAACTTGTTATTAGAAGTTATCTGGCAATCAAGAATCCTCTACCCACTACTATAACACACTGTTATTAGAAGTTATATATTTGCCACCTTGCAGTTATACTCTGTTATAATTATTTCTCTGCTAATAAAGACTCTTCTGCCCACTGTGAAAATAAGTTCTGTGAAATAAGACTTTTTGATACCCTGTTTGTTAATCAACAGTGTTACCTAAAGTGGTTTTTCCCACTCTAACGATATTATTTACTGTGTATCAGTGACGGGATTATATATTTTTGTAAATCATGTTACGCAGTTCATTCAGTGTAATCATTTCTTTGAAAATCCACATACAATAGAAATCTTGGATTTACGAAATGTTATAAAGGAACTCTTGTTTCTAAATCTTGCGTTGTTATAATTAACCAAAGGTTAAATAGGTTATTCCTTTAACGGAGAGAGCTATAATAGAAACTGTTATTAATCAAACGTGAGTAAATTTTCTTCTAATTCTTGCTAATTAGAGGTGAAATGTGATTGATTTTTAAAAATCGATATTAATGGATTGCAACTGACTGTATCTAAACCCATATTTATCGATGTTAAAAAAAATATGATGATAAGCTCAGTTCTTTGTACACTTAAATGTGCGGTTTGTTATATACATAGCTATATTACATTAGACTCAGCTATTTATTTTTGTGAATAAATTTTGTACTCCGGAGGACAGAAATATTTTTTGCATTTTTACTTGGAATAACTATTATTAGTTTTTAAAGTATTCAGTGAATAAACAGCAAACTTTATGGCAGCAGTAGACTGTTTTCGGTGCTATATTACTATATTACATAGCAGCGACTGTCTAGACCGTTTTTCTATTGCATATTAATAGACAGTGTTTCTCTTTGGATTTTCAAAGGCATAAACTTGAACAAAGAAATGTTAATTATCTAACTTTTATATTAAGTTATCATTGTAAGTTTTAAAGGAATTTAGTTTTTTGAGGTACTTTTAGGAATAATCAATATTATTCTTCATTAGTGCTGAGAACAGTGCTAAATAATTATACTGATCAACTTTTTTAAGACATCGAAATATCTGAGTACTTTAAAAATACTTGACTCTAAATGAACGACACACAAACTCTAAAAATTGTATTTATTTCTGAGTCTAACACTCTTAGTATTAGGTTGCCCCCAAAAAGAAGTCGCACACACGAAACCTTAGGCGAAGGAATTATAAAATGTTCTGGAGGTCTGGTCGG